TATTATATGAAACAATTTCACAAGATTAAACAATTTCATGAAAAAATTTCATAAGATTAAACAATGAAATCGACAGATGAAGGTGGTTTGCACGGCTTACACAAATGAGGGCGGTTTTCATATGATCACTCCTCTATGTATATATGTATATATGTATGTATATGTATATATGGGTAAAATCACATGAAATAGTTTTTATTAGTGTGCAAGACGAAAGAGTAGATTTGAAGTAAAGCAGTCCCCAATAAATAGCATCCAAGAATTCCACGATGACGCTGTCACTTTGACCGGTTCTGAGTTTCCCGGTCAAATATGGCCACCACCTTCCCCCTTTCCCTTTCCTCTGCGAATTCAATCTTTGAAATAATCCAAAAACTTACCCCCTATTACACATATACGCTTTTCTTCTAGTAAGTCTTCATTCAACCATTTCCGCCCCCTTTTTCTGAATCTTTCTTTTCATATCTGCCCCACGATTGCTCCCTTCGTTTACTTGGTCCAATCTCTCTTCAGAACCAGTCAAGGGTTTTAGGTCACTGATTATTATGAGTTTATTGCCCTTTCCTAGAACCATCCTCACATGAGTTTACTTCAAAAAAATCTAGTATTCTGAGATGTTGGGAGAAGAAGATAAAACTCAGCAGCAGCCGCCGCCGCCACCACCCGGAGGAGTAGGAGGAGATAATCGGAGAATATATTCCCGTTCAGTTTCATGGGCTGCTGGCAGGTCGCCCACAAAATCCACCTCTGCCAACCCTAAATCACTTTGGAATACCAAAGCTAAGGGAGGATGTTTGCCGCCTCTTCAACCTCTTTCTGTTTCCAGACCAAAAGCCCACGAGTGGCCAAGGGCAGGTTCCGATGATCTTGGGGTTTGGCCCAATGTTGCCGCCACCACCCCGGGTGCCAGACCCAGACCGCCGGCTCTTCCGTTGAACTTGGACAAGAGTTTAGGGAAACCCCCTAGAGAATTCGAATTCAAGAAAGATAAGCTTGCCTTTTTTGACAAGGAATGCTCGAGGATCATAAATCATGTGTTTCTAGGAAGCGATGCCGTTGCCAAGAACCGCGATGTTCTTCGACAGAACGGGATTACCCATGTTTTGAACTGTGTTGGTTTTGTATGTCCAGAGTATTTCAAGAGCGAATTGGTATACAAGACGCTTTGGCTTCAAGACAGCCCGTCCGAGGATATTACGAGCATCCTCTACGATGTTTTTGACTACTTTGAGGATGTCAGAGAGCGGAACGGGCGTGTTTTTGTGCACTGTTGCCAGGGGGTATCGAGATCAACCTCTTTGGTTATCGCATACATCATGTGGCGGGAAGGGCACAGCTTTGAAGACGCGTTTCAACAAGTGAAGGCAGCAAGAGGGGTGACTAATCCAAACATGGGTTTCGCTAGCCAGCTTCTGCAGTGTCAGAAACGGGTCCATGCGATCCCTGTGAGCCCGAGTTCGGTTTTGAGAATGTACCGTATGGCTCCACACTCGTCGTATGCACCACTTCACCTTGTACCGAAACTGTTGGCTCGACCTAACGCAGAGGCTCTTGATTCTCGTGGAGCCTTCATTGTCAATGTTCCTTCAGCTATTTATGTGTGGATAGGGAAGGATTGTGATCTACTAATGTATGAGAGTGCACGATTAGCAGCATCTCAGGTCATCCGTTACGAGAAAGCAAATGGCCCAGCTTTGACCATTAGAGAAGGCAAAGAGCCGATTGAATTCTGGGATGTACTTGGGAACGATCAAGAACAGTCAACGGGAGATAAAGGTATTGCAGGGCAAAGAAAAATCGCCGACTACGATATAGATTTTGGGGTTTTCAACAAGGCGGCAAACAGTGGAGTGGTTCCACCTTTGTCGATCTCAGGGCACGATTCTGAGATGTGTCTGCCTGCTAGACGAAGTGGCTGGGAAAGACTGAGAAAGAAGTTTGCCACCGGAGTCATGAAGGAGTTGATTATATCATCTAAAGAAGTGGAATTCTTTGAATCTCCGTGTGGTTCTCCGGATTCTTGTTCTTTCTCGGACATTTCAGCCAGCCGGGATTGGGTTAAGACTACTGATTCTAAGGGAAACGAAGATGATAACTCTGAATGCCTGTCGCCCTACTCATTCTCTTCGTTTCTTGTTAAAGATTCAAGAAAATTTGATAATAACACATCTCCTTCACTCTCCCCTTCAACATCTGATTACTCCAATTCGTTTTCGTTCTCACCCACATCATCTAACTGGTCTGACTTATCTGTATCAGCTCAGCCTTCCCCTTCTGGGTTGAAGGCCTCAGATCCTAGTCCCAGTCTCAATCCTAACCCTAACTCTAAAGTAAGAGAGATTTCACCTTCTACTGCTGAGATTCCCCAGACCCTGGTCAGAACCTGGTCATTTTCCATGGAGGATGAAACCATGGAAGATGCTGAAGATGAGAGCTTAGCAGACGGTGATGAGGAGTCTATGTTTGATGCTGAAAACCACCCCTCAGAAGGGAGTACAAGGGCTGATTTCGTTCTTTATCGGTGGCCCACTATGGAGGAAGTCAAGATGGGTAGCCCAGGGATTCCTGATTCCAGAGCTGTGTATATAGCTTACGTCACGGATCCGAGTCTGGGCACCAACAGTCCAGATGTTTTGTATATTTGGGTGGGTCGTGATGCCTCGGGTATTAGTGGGAATGATGATAGCTGCAACGACAGTTATATCCAGTGGCAAATGGTTGGTCGTGACTTCCTTGTTAGAAAAGATCTGGCAACAGGCTCTGTTGTTCAGGTAAAATGTGCTGAACCATGAAGCTTAACAAAAACTATCTTCTGTATCCTCAAGTTGTTTACTAAATATTTTCTACATAAATAACAGATAGTCAGAGAAGGCGAGGAACCAGAACAACTATGGAAGCATCTTCACTGTTTCTCATTTCAGAACACAGCAGAGAAAGGTGAGAAGTGATGAATCTGATGCGATTAAGCATCCCAGGCAGTGGAAATAAGTTGGTTTTCTTCTGTTTGTGTGATGTGTTAAAATGGTTTAATTTTTTCCATTATGTGGAATCATGTACAGTTTCTGAGCTATTCAAAACTAATAGTGAAGCGGACCGAACCCTTTTCGAGAAACTGGAATCAACTTCGTTTCCTTTGTATATGTTATTTTACAATACCAAAAGGTGTCGCCTTTTGGGATGTATCAAATCTACTTCCATCTATATCCAAGTGACTTAATCAGCCATCATTTTGAGTTGGCATCATTCTATGTAAAAGATCAAAAACAGACTAGCAGTTTAAGGCAGAAGAATAGTCATTTGACCACATATTGGGAAATCAAAAGCAGAACATAGTCATTCGACCGCATGTTGAGAAATCAACATTTGTACAAAGAAACCTAAAAACCAAATCCCAGATTGGTATAATATTAAGTTGCATAGATACATTACACAAATATGATATAGAGGGCACTGGGTCTTATACCTCAAAATAGCCACAACTTCCACATCTTGAAACAAACATAGGCTCATCATCAGTTACCATTTCACCCTCGACCCCGACCACGGCCATTGCCACGACCACGACCAGAACCAAAACCACGACCTCGACCTCTTCCTCTTGGAGCCCCACGTGACCATGGTTGCCCATTGCCACGAGAACTTCCCCTATTCCAGTCATTTTCTTTGTTCTGTTCTTTCATGGGACTAGCCCTCGAAATTACAAACGAGGACCATGGCCGTCCCCAGGAACTTCCCTTTTCATTATCATTCTCAGAGGGCCCTGCCTGCTTTGCATCTGTCCAACCTGCCAATGAACTTCCGTTCTCTTGAGACGGTGCTTGCTTATTTGCATTTAACCATGGATTACCCGAAGAACTACCCTTCTGCTCATCTTTCTTTTCAGATGACTCCGCGTTATTAGCATCTGGAGCCACACGTGGGCCAGCGGCACCATATGAACATGGGTTCATTTCAGTAATTACCATACTCGAATGATTGGGTTCGGACATCTCCGCATTCAGAGAGTTTACCTTGCTGAACCGATCCCATGGATTTACTTCTCCATCTCCTACCAATCATCAATACGATAGTCAAAATATGCAAATACATATGACATGTTATTTCACTCTCACTTTTACAACAACAGAAGTCATTGCATTTACCATATGCATGAAGAATACACACAATCATCAAAAAGTTGATGAATTATAGGACCCCAATGTATGCTTTTCTCCAATTTTGTTAAGAACAAAACAGCATGAAACCTCAATCATAAAGAAATCGATTGATAATAGCAGTACATCATATGCAACAACTAAAACCAAGTTTAACCAAGGAGTGCGTATATTAAGCAAAGGCAATAATACTTTAAATATGAACAATTCCTCCAAAAGTCAGCCGGCAAACTGCAACAGCATACTGTAAAAAAACATGGATTCAGAGCAAGCATTGAAGTTCACATTCATGGTTGGATAACAGCTCTAAATAATCACATTTTCTCCTACAAAAAGTCTAATCCTGATCCCTACACGCAACATTACTATAAAATATGCTCATTTTTTAAATCCTAACAAAGCCATTTTTTAACCAAGAGCACTGCCCTTTGAGTCTCTATACATCCATTTTTATGCATTGCGTAAACTCTACAATTAAAGTGACCCTTAACTTCAATCATAGAAAGAACAAAAATGGGATAGACTGGAACTGCTTTTAAACTTCTCATTCTTCTCCTATGGTCTGACTTCTTGCCATGACAATATATATCTATTACCGTATGATGTAAATACAATCTTAACCAAAGCGAGGGTAAGTGGTCTGCAGTCTGTGGGGGGACTATTTTGACCAAAGTGGAACAGAACACCACAAACACGCCTACGAGGGGGCACTCACAAAGAGAGTCTAAGGGCACACTGAACCACCTTGCTTGCTCATGAAGCAACTATGTGTAGATAGCTCAGCCTTGAAGGCGATGGCATTCCTTCAAGACTTATCTGTAAGCCAACACTAGTGAAATCTTGGACAATACATGGGGGAACAGCAAGATCCTGCCATGGCAAGGCCAGGCTATCTTTACATTCTGGATGATGGAACTTAGAAGTACTCTAATAATGGATGAGGTCCACGCGGACCACGCCTAACTATATAGCATACCGTGACAACAGAACATCTGGTAGAGCAGCCAGATGACACTGTGGGCAGATGAAAGAAAAATAGCAACCTGGTTAACACACACCTCTAATAATGGATGAAGTCCAAGCCTAACACACACCTCTTTGATCTCTTGCCCCTTTTCTCTCAATCTCTTTACTCCTCTAATCTCTTCCACTCATCAGGTTAGTAACTCCTCTTAAGCATATATCTAAATCTGTTGATTCCCTCACCTTACCAGGAGAAAAGGTTGGCAAAAGTTGATATCATTAATAGTCCATCATACGGTGCTTGCGGTAATTTGCTGTGAGATTTTGGTACACTCGCTATATCTGCTTGAAATATTATTAAGGCAATTTGTTTTATATGGTTGGCTGTTGAACCTAGCATGAAGCAAGTGTACACCATTGGCATATACATCCCTTGCAGTAAGGTTTACTCAATAAACCATGATGCATATGAAACTTAATGTAGCCTCAATTCGCCTTTAAAACATACTTGGTGTTTTAAGGTTGTTTGCTCCTCCCTAGTGATGTTTAGTCATGCAGAAAAGAACACTGCACCACAACCACAAACACTAGTTGAACGATACTAGTGAAAGCCACCAGTGAACTTGCTAGGGTCACTAGGGTGAGCTTTTGCTATTCTTCCTTTAGAATATTGTTGCATGCTGGAAGTTTTACATGCGATGCGCATGCCACTAGAATGGGTTTAAAAGTACCATGAATGATATAGGAGGCAGAAGTGTATTCAAGCACCAAGTTACAAAATATACCAGGATTGGAGTCTTTTGAGAGGTTCATATTGTTGTCATTACTGTTAGACACCATCTTTTCTGCATCATTCTTGTCATCACTCATGAGAGTTTGATTAACACCATTACTGACTGCTTCTATAGCATCTGGATCATATTGCTTGAGATTGCGGACATCAACAAGAGCTGAATAATTGATCTGCACAAAAAACATGTTCACAGTTATCCATACAGTAAAAAGCATTGTCACTTCATGTGCAAAGCCAAATGTTTCAATAAGCAAGATTCCGGGAACCAAATTAGGAAGGAACCACAAAAACAGAATAAACAGTGCAGAAGAGAGAAATAGAGAGAACTAGTGCATGCTGAAAGCTTTTAACTACCTCTAAAGTACCATCTTCTCCATAAAGAGAGTCATTGGGTCCATCCTCATTAATCTTATCTGAAGCAATAGGATATTCTGGCACTGGAATCAAAACAATATCCCTGGCATCGTAATATGATATTCTCCCAACCTGTGATGTAAGTTGATATTTTACCCACAAAAGAAAAGAAAGAGCATATAGCAAGGGCTCGAATGTATATATAGATGCCTCGAGGAATATTGTTTCTGAGAAGAAAATTACCCGGAAGGATGAAAATTCAGGGATCCATGAAGAAGATAACTCAAGCAGACGGTATGCAATCACATCACCTTCCTGCGAATTATAAGAAATACTAGCTGAAAAAAGCTATGGTTCATATGGTGAGGTGAAACAAATGTCAAGTAAGCAAATAAACAAATGGTTTGTAGGATCTCCAGGTAGGAACTTGGAAACGGGAATCGTTATTGTAAAAAGTCAAAGTAATAAAAAGAATATACATGTGCACCATTAACTAACTCTGATAACCTCGCTAGCAGAAGAAACCAAACATCTGTGCAAGCATAAGTTCACTGTGTGCGCATAAGGATGCATTTGTATGTGTGTGTGGAGGGAGGGGGGCTGCCATAGAGAGAGAAAGAGAGAGACCTTTGGTGAGCAACAAGGAGGAAGCTTGTCAAAATCATTAGGGTCAATTACAGGTACTTGTGCATCCGTAAACAACATTTTGAAGGCTTCTTTATTGATTCTTTTAGAATCATTCCTTCGAGAAGCTGAGAACCTTTCTGTACTCCACTTTTTACCTTTTCTCTTGCTGCTACTACCATTCCACATTAAAGTTTCCTGAAGCATGACTTAGAAGTTCATGGTATGAAAAAAAATTAAAACCAAAAGACTAGTAAGTTAAAATTAGCAAATTATACGACGGTATAGCTATATATGATCATATACTGGTGCGAACTGCGAAATGATGCAGTTGTGCTACTTTACATGTAAGGAAATGAAAACCTCAGAATGTGAGGAAAAATATGACTAATTATATTATCAGACTAGTACAGATAGTTCTTTTCTATTTCATAATCTAGACCCCAATTTCCTGTAATGTGTTTAAGAAGTAAAGGTCTATATCCTCCTAAGTATCTATAGTTTTGCTTCTTGGTAGAATTCCTAATCAAGCTATTTAAAATAAAGTACGTACATAGTACACTAATTGGGAGTATACAAAATTATCAGGTTTAACAACATGTCTTTTAAAAGAGACAAATGCAACCAAATGAAGCTGCATGCGAATCAAAAGTTGCATTCAAATAACAGATGCCATGATCACAATTTGAGGGGAAGTAAGAGTACAATTATCTAGTAGTTGGGGTTGGCCAGTTGGGTATGTCTAAAATTTGGGTTTAAGTTGCTATGCATCTCTTTCAAATAAACAAGTAGTTAGGATCTGTTTGTGTACCTTTTGGTAGGGTATTTTGGTATTATTATTACTCATTTTAGTTATCGATGTAAAAAGTTGTAGTCCACAAATCCCCAATGCATTCAATACAGAACTACTAGACATGGGATATTATTCACAGCTTATCAAGAGTTTTCTCCAAGAACGGGAAACGTACATTTGATACTCTAGTCTGTTTTGGTGTTTGATCTGCATGAAACAAAGACAATGAAAATTAGCACTCTGCAAAGACACAAATAACTCCAACCTGGAAAAATTAATAGGTAAATAATCACAAGCTACAAGAATAAGGGTCAAAGTTCGACCATGTCTCTTTCAAAACTATGTTCAACTTCGACTTCATGGCTACTTGTGGGATTAGACTTGACGTAAATTTTAAGTGGCACATCCAACAACAAGGATAAAGAGCGATTCTGCTAAGATAATATATTAGCGACTCCAACAACAATAAAGTAAACCAATATCATTCTCCCTCCATTCTTGCTCCTCCGTCTCCACAGGACAAAGGGAGAGCAGAAGAAAGAGTAGGAAGTACAGATTAGAATTGGCTTTTGATTAATAAAAATTAAAAGACTGCTATCTTCATTAAAAGCAAGAAGTCGGTTTGTAGTTCATTTCAGAGGAACTTCTATCCTTTAGTTACCTACTTTAGATATAGCAAGAAGGAAAACAACAGATGCATCTGCACATATGAAAAACACTACTCTTCTTGGTCTCCAGGGAGCAGATTTAAGTAAGGGTGAAAAGTGCAAAAGAAAATGGTAGTAGGTGATCATCAATGGACATAAAAGCAACGAATATGGAGCATAAAAGAAAAAGATAAAAACAAAGAGGACAAAGCTATTGTAGACTTTATTTTGCTTCCCATAATATAGATTTTTAGTTAACAGAAAACCCGAGTATTCTGAAGCAAGAATAGTTATCATGTACCTGAAGCAAGATGGAAAAAATGTTTGTGCACTGCTAGAAATAAGTGAGTGCTTAACTTTCGATAAACCAACCAGATATGTTTATACTGATTATATTCTCAAAAACAATTGATGCCACGTACATAGAAGGAAAGAAACACATGGAAAAACTATTACAGGGAAGAAAATATAAGTGGACGGCAAACATTCAACTTGGTTTTGGTCAAGTCGAAAACATAGTTACCTATTGACGCAGCCATAAAAAATAAAGAATGAAGCTAAGAAGTAAAAAAGAGGCCTAGTGAGTATTGCTCGCTTTTGCTTCCTACTCCTACCACATCTCATCCGGCCTACGAATGGTATTTTATTCTTTCTATGCATGTGATGAGACGAAGAGTAATAAGAATGGGGAATTAAATGATTATCATCTCCGTCTAACATTTAGAGAAATTATAATTGTAATCGAGCTACCATATCATAGAATATACAGCTCAATTTATTTGCCAGCAACTAGAACATGGTGAAGAAGACTATTTAATACGCATACTTAGGGTACAGGATATCATATACCTTCATCAAGAGGTTCAAATCGAATATGTCCTGGCCTGGTTACAATGGAAACGACACCAGTACCCGCATCTTGGTCTATTGTATTCTTATGCACAGACTTATTAGGAGCCTGTTTCCAGTGGAGCTGCAAATTGAAAATTTGTCAATGAATATGGTACTTCAGAGTGCAGGAAGTTTGGACTTTGGTTCACAATTAGTTACTTACTAATCCCTTCGGTCGACCATTAGCCTCTTCGTTTTCAGCTTTAGTTACTTCAGGCTTTGAATAAGAATATGGCTGCAAATTCAAGATTGCGAAAAATGGATATGAGTCTGGACTACAGATGAAACTTTGACTTTTTTGGACATTCTTTCACAAAATTTAACAAACAAATACCTTCTTCTTCGAGATTTTAGCTAGTTCTTTCATCCATTCTCTCTTGGCCTTTTTCCGTCTAGCACTTCTACTAGGGATCTAACAATTAGCTCCAACAAGTTAATGTGCCACAAACATTTATGATAGCTAAGTTTATTTCGTAAGTGGTTACCAGTTTGAATATATGTATATGAACCCAACTCTTATGTTTATCATCAGAACTATTTTAAGAAGTTTTCCTATTACTAAGCATAAACCATCACTTATATTAATGCTTTAGAATCACATGACAATATAAGTTCTGCTGCTTGGTAAAATATTAATGACAGAATACCTTAAGCAACCAACAGTTTAATTGGAACTCTTGCCACCATTGTTACATAAACACACATGCACAAACTGACACACAAATATAAACCACAACAGCAATTTACGACCCTTAGGCTTTCATCACAATCACATAACAAATGGTACATGATTCATTTTCCTGTTATCTTTCTGACACAGAGGGGTGTCATGCAAACAGTGATGGCTAATAGACCACTAGTTTACCATGAAATCTCATAAATCATATGTGATGCATCAGTATTACATACCTTTTTTGCCCCAGGAGCAGTAGACACTTGATTGACCTCTTCAATATTTTGTTGAAGCTGTTCACTCCTATAAAACATGGATAACTAAAAATAAATTACTGAAACAGAGAACAAGAAAGTACATCTCGCTGCTCCATCCTTTCTCACTTTCTGTTTGGGTGTTCACATGTTCCTTCCTCCTCTCTATCTCTAGAGGGGTGAGGCATCCCCCAACCACAACTAAGATATAACATCATATGTTGACATTGAGAAACACGACAAACCTAGATAGCAAAAGGATTTTAAAAACGTATGTGCAATAATGGTAATGATATCATTATTACCGTTTCACAATGGAAGGAGATTTAACTTTTTTGTTACTTGTTGCAGCACTTCTGTTAGTCTCCTCATTTGGTTTACTGTTGCGATTTGGTAGCTTCCCCTTCCTGCTGATCTTCCTGGAATGAGATGTATCAATATTAACATTGTCAATTTCCTCTGCATCAGCCTCATCTTCTGCATCATCCAACACCCCCAAACGGCGCCTTTTCTTCCTATGATTCACAAAAGCAAACAAGTGACATACAGAAACAGATCTGAGAGTAAAGCTAAATAGGAACCTTTACAAAGCAGGCTTTATTTATTTAAGGCCATAAGCAAGTCCCAGATGGTCCATTTGTGTGATCGTGATTACATTTTAGTTTGCCTCTTGTTAAGATCTCCTTCCAAGAAACATCCAGAGAGATTCTAGACAGACTTCAGGAATCTGTAGAGACCTTTCAGTTAATAAAGCCAAGCACGCCCTGTGGTATAGAGACCTCTTGCAACTAAGTTCTAAATTAAATGACACACTGACACACTGTTAAGGTCAACTAGAGATTAAGATCAGATTTCATAAGTCGTACCAAACATATCCAGGGAACCCCCACTTCCCAGTGTAGAGATCCCCCGAACCCAGATCTCACACCAAAGGACATTCAAAGTAAACCAATTCTAGTATTTGCAGGGTTAGATAGAAACCACTACGTCCGGTGCTCTATTACATCCTTTTGGGGTCGCCTAGGTTATTGTTCAAGTAGCAGGTATCAGACCTGCTTGCAATGCACCTTGCCCAGTGGATAAGTGGCTTTGCTATATTGAGAAATAATTCTGAGAGTCATGTAGAAGATCTTTTGGAATTAGAAAAATACTAATACAAGTTTACCCACTTTGATTCCTGCCATCTCCATAAACGCCAAATTTACCTCGGCAACATTCTCAACATCAACTTGTTCTGGTAGGGTACTTGGCATCCGAAGATGTTCCCTCGCACATATTTTCACATTCGCTCCCACTTAGACTCTGATCCTTTTACCCTCCGAAAATCCTCTTATTGCTAAAAATGTCTACAAACGTCTCAACTAGCATATATATTATATAATTCCACACCAGAAAGGCCTCACTGTAGTATAAACCCATAACAAGATAAAGGGTACATAAGATAGGACGTACGTCGAGTTCTGAAGTTTCATGGAGGCTTTTCTTTTATTAGAAACTGCGTCAGGTGAAGCTTCATCTTGCAACTGTTCTTCATCGACCTCCTCAGATTCACTTTGATATTCTCCAGTTTCCTTATCGAATGTATCATTTGCTAAAAGTAGCAACCCATCATCTTCAGAATCCAGCCCATCAACTTCAACCTTGTCAAGCAAATTGCCTGCATCTGCCGCCTCTACTGCATCCCCACCTTTCTTTCTCACACTGAACAACAAAAAGATGCCCGCTTGTTAAATATATGGTTACAGATTCACAAAGATAGTAATATGAAACCAAAAAAATTAACTGACCAAATAATTTCCTTATCCTTCAACATTTCAGTTGATTCAAAAGATGGTAATACAAAGCCATCCATCTGCAAGGAGAAAAAGCAGCTACTTATACAACAGGTACACATAACCAGAATAGGGTAATAAACCTGAACTTTACTTATTCTAGGCAACAACTCAACACTCAATCCAAATTACTTATTATAGGCCATCCCAATAACTAGAAAAAGGTAAATTAGTAATGTACTAAATAAAATCAAATATATACCCACAAGAACAACATATAATAGGGCAATAAAACTGGGGCCAATTTGGGTAGAATGATTATCCTAGTTTTCATATTCTTTACCTTTTCACAGTGTTTAAGTATAAAGAGCTACAACAACCACTGGAACCATCTAAGAGAACCTCACATTCATGTTAACGAAGAACGCCATAATTAGAACTCACGTGCACTACAAACAGATCTCGTTGGCACTAAAAACGGTTCACATGATTAGCTAACACCCACTCTTTTAGAAGAAAGGGTTACACTTTAATGAATAGTTGAATTTCAACTTCAAGATTACATGACTCTAAAAAACTATCAAGCAGAACACGATATTTATAATGATTATTTTAACAAGAAACACAAATAGAATAGTTTTCAGTAACAAAATCCAAAAAACGTACATCCTTGTTAAATTCACGTTTGAAAAGTGAAAACTCCTAAATCTAAAGCTGCCTCGTTTTTGGAACAGAGAGAGTGACAAGATCGAACACCGTTGCTCTTTTAACAGGTTCATTTCATGGTATCGAAGTAAAATAAATAATTAAATCACCGTTTGAAACAACACGATTATTTGCATGTGTTGATAACAACAAAAGAATAAAAGGTACCGACCTACAAATTTTAGCAGTAATCTTATGCAAGAAAATTAGCATTTGGAAAGAAAGAAAAAAATGCACTAATGCAGCCCTTATCTGCTCTGCGTCTTGGATAAAAATTAGGGTTTCAGTGTATACATTACGACATAAAAGAAGAGGAGCGAAAGAGCGTTACAGAGAGGAGGATGCCATTAGGGCAAGAGCGACGAAGTTTGAAAATGTGGAGAAGATGAGTACAGACGTCGGAGATTGTTCGATGTTGTTGTGATTTGAGGAGAAACCAGCTATGGTCCATCCCATCCGATCGCTGCGTTTTGCTAAGAATAGAACGATCTTCGAACACCAGACGAACCCGTAACGATGGCGTCTCCATTTTACATGCAGACAACACACACTCGGTTCGTACGCTGAGTGAGAGCGAGCGATCAGCGATCGAGATAGAAGAAAATATATGTTTTGACGGAATTTGGACAAAGCGTTGATGGAGAGACAACTGCCGTGCTCCTCCGCGCTCTAAAACCCCACCACCGTAAATCAGTCTCGGAGAGTCAAGAGATGGTGATTGATGACTCTATATACCATCAACGTGGCTGTAGATACGACATCGTATATAAGATAGTCCTTCCTTCTCAAATAATCGCGATTTTAGATATGTTTTTCGTAATTTTGTATTTATTTTGATAATTTTCTCCTTCTCAAAATAGTCCGTATTTTATTTTATTTTATTTTTCTTAAAATAAATATATTATTTTAGACGATAGACAACTAATTTCTAGATAAAAGACAAATCAAATACCTAACATAGGACGATTACAAACCAATCAATTAAAATATTTATGATAATGATAAAAATTCATTTATTATAATTTAAATATTTATAGAAGATGATTGAAATTTATTAATTATGATCAATATTTTATATTATGTAACATTTGAATATTTATGAAACTAGATATTCATTAAATTAGATAGACAGTTGAGATTAGTTTGTATTTAATTTGTCTTCTTTCCAAACGTACCCTTAATTAATGTAAGAATATTTAAGAGATAAGATACGCTATCATTTGGTTAACTAAAAAAAGTGCAGGGAAACTATGGTGGCGTTTGTTTTTTAAGAGGTGCTGAAGTCTGAAGTCTGAATTCACTTCTGAATTTTAAGAGG